ATATAATAGGTGTGTATATATAAAAATACATTAAGTACATTAAAATGTTGTATATAAAGCTAACGTTTGGGTAATTCTAACTTCAGGAATCTGCTTTTCAGTCACAAGGCTGTGTTACAGCAATCAAATATGAGAGATTTGAATTTAAGGGAGTTGAGCAAGGAAAAATTAGTCCTTACCAGCACTGATGAGGCAACTGTTGCTTTGTACGCCACAAAAAAAAAAAAAAAAAAAAATCACCTTTAAGCAACCCAATTTTGACTATGCTGTAAAGGGTGTTCATTTGTAATGTTAAAATGCTAGACTTCTAAGAATCTGTGGGGTACATTTGGGAGCTGTGGGAAGGTTGGCACTGTGCAATTTTTTTTCAAGGCTCCAAAAATCATCACCAAGAAAACTTGCGTATCTCTACCTATGTGCATGTACTCTTTTTAGGCGAGCCTGCTGTTCATGCTGGCTAACTGAGACAACTGGGCACCAAAGATGACATGTCAGAAGACAGTTGTCGTTGTTTATAGCACCATTACTTTCTGATCTGAAGTGGCTGTTGCTTGTGTTAAGTTCAGTATAGTATCTTAAGCTACCTGTAATTTGCAGAATTCAAAATAACACTGAAAGAATGTTCCATATCAAACAAATAACGGTTAATTTGAGAACAAGTATTGTGTCTACATAATAGTTAACTTTGTGGAGCTTGAGATCCTGTCTGATCTTTTTGGCACACTTTTGGTTAAGTTTTGTAGACTTTCTTCCTGTACAACACACTGGAAACTGAACAGAAGTTGTCTTCAATTCTGCAAAGTGCAAGTGTACTGGATTATTAAAGAGTATCAAAGGAATCCTAGTAGTAGAGGTTGAAATGCAAGTACAGGAATTCTTAATCTTCATCCTTTTCTGTGATTACTTTAAAAGAAAGAAAAAAGAGTTCTAGGTTTGCTCAGCCATTTCATTTTCATGGTAAATATATACTGGAGTCTTTCTGTTACAAAGGAACACAGAACTATGTGATAATTTTATTCCATTTTCTGTACTTTTCAACTCTTGCTGATGCAGTAACAAGCATTGTAACTGAAGCTGGCGTGTTTTTTACTGGCCTGATGTGATTAGGAAAAATTTAAGTTGTTATCTAAGCTAATATAAGTAGTATTTTGAACTGCTGTATTTCATTTTCACCTGTATAATTTGACTATGAAATGATACTAAACTAGACATAAAGCAAGGGAAACCTACTTTTGCAATTTTTCTTCTTGCAAGAAATAAATGGAAGGTTTTTCTGCAAATCTTACTAAAATGAGGTAAGTATGCAGATATCTTACTGAAACCGCCCACAAAATGCTAATAAATTCAGTGGTTATTGGTATTGTTTATCTAAATATACCTGGGATTCAAACTATTGTATATGAAACAAAGTTCTAAGTTTATATTAAGAGTTATTAATATGTTGTGTCCTCTTTTTCTTTGTAGACGTGGAACTGGTGCTTTTAAATCAAGAGTGGGATTGCCAGCACCTACTCCTGTGATTAATAGTAAATACGGACTGAGAGAAACAGATAAACGATTGAACAGACTTAAAAAGTTGGGTGACAGCAGCAAAAACTCAGACAGCCAGTCCGTCAGCTCTAACACTGATGCAGATACCACTCAGGAAAAAGCTAATGCAAGTAAGTAAGGGGAAAAGCTTGGAGTGCAGGATTAAAGGTTTCATAAAAACATGAAGAACTCTCACTGATGGAATTCCTCTCTCAGTGTTGAGATGCGTCTCAGATACTGGTCTTTAGAACTGTAATTTATTCAGGAATCTGAAGGCAGTTTAAATAGCGAATTCATGGTTTTCCTTAAGTGTTTCAAGAACAATAGGTGGCATGTTTTTGTTTTCTTTTATTTATATCAAAAGCAAATAGTGTCATATTTCTAAACATGTTAAAGTTCTATCAGTAATGTATGTATTTCAGAATATGATAAACTATCACATGTAGTAGTATGGTTTAGGAAAGAAAACATAGTTTGAGTTACCTACATTCTGTGGAAAAACAGTTTTTAAATACATCTTAGTAGAGATTATTAAACAAATAGTCATTTCCTTTAGAGATCCTTTAAATTGGGCAGCTATTCCCTCTCCACATCCAGGACTGATAGTTCAGGTACCTATTCTGAAGTGAAAGTGCACAGTTAGTAATCTCAGAAGAAATTGGAAGGGATTTTTGTTTGTGATGCTCTTGAGGGACTTCTCTTCATGGAGTAGTGAGTATCATTTGTTTACTTTCTCCCCTTCCCCACCTCTGCCACCCTCAAGATAGGCAAAATATAAATAAATTAAACTTTGGCGTAACTAGCAAACAGGTTTGGAGATACATAAAATACTATGGTTCCATCTGGCTCCTGTTTGCTGCTGTGATATTTAAAAAAAGAAAAAAACACTTCCCAAAACCCGCTTATGATCTCTCATTACAAAGCTTTAGAGTTGCAGCTTTGCTTGGACAGACAACTCATTTGCTTACCACAGTAGGTGACAGACAACTGGTTACCTGAAACTGACACCATTACAGTAGTTAAGGTTTTTGGGGTGTTTAACTCTCTCTCTAGGAAAAAATTCTGGGGTTAATACTAAAGCATGCTGATCCTCAGGTTTTGATGGAATAATATTCAGTAAAAACTGTGGATAATGTGGCATGGATTTTTAAAAAAAAGGGTAGAAGAAATTCGGTAAAAAACAAACTTAGTATATTGGGGGCAGTGTGGGAGGTGTACCTGGAATTTAGGTATACTTTTGACTTGTTTGACAATTCCTTTCACGTCTGAGTTGCAAGTTAAGCAGTCTCACTCCTTACTGTGTAGCATCTAGCCTGTTTCACAGATTTTGATGAAGTGTTTGAAATCAATGAAATAACTACAGTATTTGGGAGTGGGAAACTCAGGATAAAGAAGTGTCGTAACAAAACCACTTTTTGCTTTTGCAGCTAACAGAAAATCTTCAATTGGTGTAAAAAAGAACAGCAAAAATAGAACATTAACAAGACAGTCTATATCAAGAATTCCAGCATCATCAAATTCTACCTCATCTAAACTAACTCATATAAATAATTCCAGGGTACCAAAGAGACTGAAAAAGCCTGCAAAGCCTTTACTTTCAAAGATAAAGTTGAGAAATCAGTGCAAAAGGCCAGAGCAAAAGAATGCTTCTAGAAAGCTCGAAATGGGAAATTTAGTTCTCAAAGAGCCTAAAGTAGTTTTATATAAAAACTTGCCCATTAAAAAGGATAAAGAATTGGAGGGACCAGTCAAAGTTGCAGTCTCTAGTGGATGCTTAACAAGGCATGCAGCAAGAGAACATAAACTGAATTCTGTGAAAGGTGCTCATGAGCATGGTGATATACCACCCTGCACATACATAACAAGGAGGTCAATGAGAGCAAGGATGAATTTGAAGGAGACCTCTGACATAAAGCTTGAACCAAATATGTTGGATAGCTATAAGAATAATTTGACCGGAACACAATCGGACATGTTAGAGCAGCAGTCTCATGTGATAAACAAAAATGATGTGGCTCATGGACCATCACATAAAGGGGAAATTAGGTGCCAGAAAAATGATGCAGGCATGTCAAAAAAGAAATCTCGACAAGGAAAACTTGTGAAACCATCTGCAAAAATAGAAGAAACTGATACTACGCACAATACACTTGTGAAAGATGAAGTACCAGATTTGATCAGTTCTCATTCAGAACACGGAGAGAGGAATAATGTGGTGGACACACCTGTTGGCCATAAAGACTGTATCCCTGGATCTGGTGGCTGCTCTGTTGTAACATCTGACAATTTTAAATCAAAAGACAGCTTTAGAACTGCAAAAAGTAAAAAGAAAAGACGAATCACGAGGTATGATGCACAGCTTATCCTTGAAAATAGCTCTGGGATCCCTAAACTGACTCTTCGTAGACGCCATGATAGCAGTAGCAAGGCAAATGACCAAGAAAGTGATGGAATGAATTCTTCAAAAATAAGCATCAAATTAAGTAAAGACCATGAAAAAGATAATAATTTATATGTAGCAAAGCTAAATAATGGGTTTAACTCAGGATCAGGCAATAGTTCAACAAAATTAAAAATACAGCTAAAACGAGAGGAAGAAAACAGAGGGACGTACCCTGAGGACCTTCATGAAAATGGTATGTGTTGCAGTGAAACTCTCTCCCTTTTGGAGTCAAGAATGGAAGTAGATGATTATGGTCACTATGAAGAGGAAACAGATGAATCTTCATCAGAAGAGGATGATGAAGAGGAAGATGACTATGATGATGAATTTGATGACTTTATTCCTCTTCCTCCAGCAAAGAGATTAAGGCTTATTGTTGGCAAGGATTCAATAGATATTGATATTTCTTCCAGGAGGAGAGAAGATCAGTCTTTAAGGCTCAATGCATAAGCTTATAGGTCTTAAACTGACCTGGATGTCATTTTTTAAAAAATTTTAAAAAATAAAAAAAAAAAACCCACCACAACAAAACCCAACAAAAATTCCATTTGATTATTCCTCAACTGAAGAACTTACTGAAAAACTTAGTGGCAGCACTTCTTTATTGTTTATTCACCTATCAACGTAATACTGTAGAAAGTGTACAGCATACTGACTCTTCTTAAGTCTGATTTGTGCAGATTTTTATTGTACTTTTTAATAGCCTTCTTATGTGCAATTCTGAGTTAGAGGTAATGCTCTGTTGTAAAATAAAGGCTCAAGCAAAGTTATGAAATTGTATCAAATCTTTCCATGCAGGACAATGAGAATACAGTGTGGCTACATAATTATTTTTGATCAGTAAGAGCATTAGTTTGCTCTTACAATATTTGACTAAACAATTTAAAAAAAACATAGTAGCAGCATATTAAGGTTTTCTAGTATATGTTATTATCACCAGCAATGATCTACAGCTTTTCAATTTATTTGCTAGATGTTTTTTTCCCCCTTGGAGTTTGTCAGTTTTAACACTGTATGCTGTCCCAGACGTACTGTTTGTGGCCTTTGTTATAGTAGCAAACCGTTGGTTGGAAGTCAAATTGATTTCTTTAAAAAAAGAGAGGAAAAAAAAAAAAAGAAAAGGTGTTGACAATTTGCTGACTTTTTAGTACATTATATGTACAAGGGTAGCAGTATGCAGAATAAAAGTTTGGATATGGTGTATTTATTGCTTGTTATGTAAATTAAACACCTTGTATTTAACACTTTTCAATACTTTTAGATAAAATTGTTCTTTGCAAGAATGATTGGTGCTTATTTTTTCAAGAATTTGCTGTGAAATAATGTGATTACAACGGGCAACATTTATCCAATGAACTGCAGCTATCCTAAATTGGTTCTTCATATTTTTCTGTTGCACTTGTAAAATGCTACAAGGAATTTAAAGAAAATCTATTCACTTTAACTTATGATAGTTTTATGAAATTAAAGACAACTAAGTCACAGCTTTTGTTCTGTGGTAACCTATAAATTGTTTGTCTTTTAAGAACCAGTTGTAAAAGACTGAAAAAATATGTATATGTTGTAAATATTTGTGTGTTGTGAGAAATTTTGTCATAAGAAATTGAGATAACTTGCCAGAAGGGTTTTTAAGTTTAGAAATACATCCATGCCAATAAAATAGGAAATTGTAAACCTAGTTTTAAACTCTGCATCAGTTGGAGTTCTTTGCTCATACGTAGTTTACTTAATACTTCAGAGTCTGCTTTATAACAATGAAGAGCATCAGGGCAATCTTTGGCTCTTTTGTTTTTAATAAAGAATGTTAGGAAACTTCTGGGCACAATGGACTTGTTTGTATGTATAAATCTCATTTATAAGCCGTTTCTTTGAAACAGGTCTAAAATGTCATAGTTGACATAACCGTATAGAACTTTGGTCTATGGTATTTGTGTTTTTACTCAGCCATGGATTAAGGTGTAGAGTTTTTGTTTCTGCACCCATAGATACAAGTCGCATCATAAAACATGTGCTGTTGGATTAGTTGAATCCACTGTTAGCTGCATAGTATTTCCATGTCAAGTCCAACCCTCTCTGCCCAGAAGAGCAAGACCTTGAGTTACATGACCACTGTATTACCCAGTTGTGAAAGCATTAGTGGAAATGGGTGGGTGAATTTGCATGTGAGCTGATCATAATGGTTTGGCCCATCTCTCTGACCCTCACAGAAATGAAGAATTTTTTCAAAGAAATCCTTCCAAATGCATTCCCGTAATTTGGTAGACTGCAAATCAGGTGGTAGAATCTGCTTTCATTTCACTTCTCTTCTGTATTCTTAGCAGAGAACTAAGTGTAGAATTAAGTATAATACTTGCAACTTTGTTTTTACAATGTCCAGTCTCTGTTAAAGGCCAGCTGTGTCTCATGTACAGACTGTATATATTTTTAAAAAATGGGTAGGCCTGTATGTAATGCACAGTCTGTTCTGTCAGACCCGGCTTTTAGTTCAGAGAAGACTGAACAGAAGAGCTTTGGTAAGTATGCTGGCATTTTTGAGTACCGAGTCAGTTGTGGTGGATTGTCTTGCGGGATTTTTAATTGTACTGTGTCATAAAAAAATGGGTTATTAAAGGTTGGGTTACAGGGAAGATAGCTGTGTTATTTAAGGGCTTGCTTTGTACTAGGAAGTTTATCAGCAAACAGTTGATGACAAGTAACAGTAATACAGCTCTTTCCTCAAAAATTCACTCACATTTTCCACTGGGTGATATGCCCTCCAAGTATGTGGCTGTATCAGCGAAAGACGTGAAGAGCTGAGCAGAGCATCTGCATGCTTTCTGTTCACTGTCTCATAGATGATTACTGTAGCATGTTCTGGGATACCAGTTCCCCTACTTTGTTCCATAGTCAGTTTCTCTTGCAGCTCTTCCATCTCCCTGCTGCTCCTGCTTGCAGACTCATGCTGAATGGTCCTCTGGCAGTCTTGGTGGTTCTAGTGGGGGGTGATTGGTTTGCAGAAACATAATTCGCTGGGTACTTGAGGAGAAGGGGGTTGATGCAGCAAATAAACATTGCCAGCTATTGTTGGTATTTACTGACCAGTATGCTTGAGAGCAAGTTTAGGGCTTGCTAAACCAGCATCGAGCAATGAAAGCAGATCATGAAACAGGTGGTGAAGAAATTGCAAGAGAATCCTGCCCTTAGAGGTGGAAGCTGTTTTCCTGGACTAGATGTTCCTACTAACTCATAGTTCAGTCAACCCTTTAATGAGGGCTGCTTTTCTTTCTCTCTGATGCGGAAATAAGTACAAGTAGCTCTTTGGGCATCAGGAACTCTGGATTGCTCTTGTTCATTGAACAAACATCTTGGAGAATTTGGAACAAAAGGTTTTAGTTATTTCCAGGGTAGTCAGGTCCATAGCTGTATCTGGCTATACAGAGTTTTGGTGTTACACACCTTGAAAATAATTAAATGTGTTCTCCCGAGGTGGTCAGCTAGGCAAGGGTTGCACAACGCAAATATCTTCTGTCCTTCCCCTGACACAGAAAATATTTCTCTTTTTTTCATCATTTATATGTGAATTGGCAGACCATAATGTTTCCCTAACCTTAGTAGTTGGGGAAGACAAATGTTTGTGTCCCATATATGAGAACCTGACAACCTGGGGATGTTTCTTGCTGTCCAATTCAGATCACGAAGCACTGTGAAGTTAATAGTGATTTGACTGTCAGGGACCCCGTCTAGCCTTTATGTCTCTCATTTCCCAAGATCTTGGTAAGAAAAGATGCAACAGCTGGGTAGGTTTAGAGTGACCACAGCACATCCTTTAGCAGGCTGAAGAACTGGAGGAAGCATATTACAGACTGGCTTTGCCAGCTAGTTTTGCGTTATGTGTAACAGGTTGTGAGGCTAAAAAGGAAACATTACAACCACCATGAAAATGGCAGGTTGGCTGTGGATTTGCGAGCATCCTGGCACAGGCAGTGCATACTGAGCTGCCGTATCGTTGAGGACAGATTTAGCATGGGCTTTTGAACATTTGGGTAGCAGATGTAACTGTTAACTGACTTGCACTGTTGGTGTGGTGATTTAATAGGATAGGGGCAAAGGTGTTGATTCTTTTTAAGACAATAACAAATACTGTTTCTTAACAAAACAGTGTTACAAAATTGTGAGTGTTGCTTTAAAAAAAAATAAAAAATGCAGTGAGCATATGGGAGAGGGAGCACTCCTAAGCACTCTTCTCAAGTAGAAGCTTGCATAGACATACTGTACAGTAAAGTTTCTGCAAAATACATTACAGGCAGTTCAGTCCTATTGGATACTATTCATGTTGATCCCAGAGAGACTAAAAAGATGATTATTCAGTATGTTTGTCTGTCTTGCATAGGGCAGTCTAACCTTTCCCATGTTTCTTTGGAGTGATATAAAAAGGTATTTTACATTTATTTGAGGAGGAGTGATTTGATTGGAAATAGCCAAATAAGAATCAAGCCTTTCCTGCTCCACCTGTACAGGGGCATTTCCCTGGACATCAGGGAATTTCTGGAAAATTGTTTCAGCCAAGAAGCAATGCTTCGGCCAACAGCAGAAGCTTGTGACTGTTGGATGTTATTGTAATATTGTCTGAAATGAGTGCCCCTCTGAGCTAATCAAGCATGCTTTTTTCTACCTCATCTGTAACTCCAGCTATAGGGTGCAAGCAGGGGGTTTTGGACTTGAAAAAATCATCTGATAAAATTGCTGTGGATTCTCTGCAAGATGAACATGAATTTGTTGGGTGTTAGGTGTTGTCTTTGTATGTACTTTGAATGCTCAAGTGTTAGCTTGCGTGAAGCTTACCATCATTCAGAGTGTTACTCTGTTGTTCACAGTGCATTGGCTTTATACTGCCAGCCACTATGTGCTAAATGCACCCAAGGTACTCTGCAAAGTATGTACTCACGTCTGCTTTTGGCTGGGGTTTTTTTTCTGGTTTCTTCAGTTCACATACCTTATTTACACTAATCCCATGAAATATTATTGCTTATACATGATTGTTTCAGTGTTACTCCTCTTCCCCACAGGCAGAGGAAATCCATTACTTCTTCCCGGGCAGCTACACTTGATTTAACTGTAATTTTACTTGGATTCATCCTTGCATGAAACTTGATCAGAACAGTTCCTGGCACAGAAACAGTAGCTTAGGTGGTGGTGGTGGTGGAGGACTCCTTATGGGAGTATGGGGCCAGTATGGGCTCCGTATGGGGCCAGTTAAACAGTGTTGCTCAGGAATTGTTTTAGCTTAACAAGCAAAGATTCATGGGTTTGGTAGTGAGTTTCAGTCAAGTGTGGAGCTATTAATGAGTCCAACAAACCATAGATTTTTCCACTGATGCTTTATGATGTTCATCAGAAGTCAATTCTATTTTGTAATTAGATTTATAGTCTTTTCTGCTCCAGTTACTGTTTGGCTGCAACATTTTATAACAGAATTGGTTGTAAACTGGTAACTCTAAGGTAGAGAATTACTA